GATGGGGTGAGCTGCACATCCCAGCACCCCTGCCAATCATGTCTGGGCCCTTTATAAATGGGTGATAAATGCAATATGAAATAAAGCCTGGCAGCTTTGCTTGGCAGCAGGATGAACTTGTTGACAGTCCTAGGTCATATTTTGGTTTATGTTGCTTAGCCAACTTTGGTAGCTGGTTGCTGGATGTCAGTGAGAGAACGTTGCCCTGAGCATGCTGAGGGATCTCTCTCCCTGATGGGCAGCAGGGCACCGATATTGCATCTGGCACCGTGGCAAGGCTGCGATGGATTACGTGGGAAGGGGAAGGTCCCTTGCACAGGTTTTTGGCATCTCCCTTTTCCCTAACCTCAACAGAGAGGCCAACGGGATGGCTGCTGGGGAATGCAGGGTACCCTTCCCAGTTCCTCTCTAGTTCATGCAGCCCTATCTTCTGTGGGTGATATTTTCAGCGATGGTAGACACTCTTGCTTTTTGCAGGTGATGGGAGCTTTACCCTTGATGGCAATAGGATTTGCATGGGGTCAACGGGCTATATGCCCTCTGGGAAACAGCAGCCTTCATGCTAGGGGTTGAGCATGGGTCTGTTCCCCAAACCTGTTCCCCTGTGAACCCTGGCTCTGAGGGGGCAGCCTACCCGACACAGGCAGCAACCAAAGTCAACACCATCCTGGCCTGATGCCCCAGTGAGCTCAGGAGACAGGAATGTCCAATGCACTGGTAGAGGGTTCCTGGGTTTTTCTGGCGCAAGTCTGCAAAGTCCAAAGCCTCTGGGAGGCATTTCATTTTCCTTTCTGGAATTAACTTTAGTGCTGAAGGTTGGGTTTGGGCCAGCAAAGCTTCCTTTGAGCCGTCGGCCGTGCAAAAGACTCCTTGAGTCTGCAGCATTTTCCTTAAATGCAGCTCATCTGGTGCCAGAAATTTCCCTCGCCTGAATATTATAATCTCCTCAAGTGCCGGTGAGGAATTGCCCAAAGGAAACGTGACCTTTCGAGCAATGCTGGCTTGTCTGGAGCGGGCGTTCGTGGCCATGTGAAACGGTGCAGGCTGTATCGTTCTGTGGGAGGAGGAGGTGTTTTGTAGGGCAAATGGAAATAAAACTCCTCCCTTGGCTGGGGGTCCGGAGGGAGGTGAAGTCAAGAGCTGGATCTGAAATGGGCAGCCAGCCCCTGTCAGAGCAGAAGTCTGAGCATCCCAGACGCTTGGCAAGCTGTGGCCCCATGGCCAAAGCTGAACGGAGGTGCTTTCAGCCCTTCCCTAGACTTGCAGGATCTCCTCAGGAAGAGATAAACCCCTTCTACTAAGAGTGTTTCGCCCCAAACCAAGGCCTCCAAAAGCTGTTGGCAAACATGTAAGGATTGCATAAGAGAAATGACCTGGCCCTGTGATGAGGTTTTGCCAGAGCAAGCCTTGCCCGCAGCTCCTGGCTGCCGGGGGAGCAGAGCAGTCTCTCCATCCTCCCTTGCTTCTTCAGTCCACCTAATGTTTGTGTGGGGGGGTGAATTTCCTTTCTCCTTGCAGGAAAACCCCTCCATCCAGGCAGGTGACTGGGTGCAGGAGTGTAGCACACTGTAGCTCATCTTGCAAGTCTTCAAGCTTCAAGTCTTCTTGCTTTCCATTTCCCTGTCCTGTGTTGGGTGAAATGAAGTGGGGAGCTCTCAGTCCAACCAGCAGCTATGAGCCTGCTTCTTCCTAAAACTTCCCTAGCCTAGGACCGACCTGGGAAAGTGCTGGCTGGAGGTGAAGGTAGAGGATCAGCCTGATCCTGAAGCGCTGGGTAATTATTTCTAGAAACGGGAAAGATGGTTGTGCAATACTGCTGTGGGCTGAGCACGTTGACTTACTGAATGTGATTGCGAGCAATTAGAGCAAATGGGAGACCATGGCCCCTTCTTAGAAAACAGAACCATTTGGAAATTAAATCTTTCCACCTTTTTGCTTTGAAAGGCAGTTTACCAGCTGACCCCCTCCTCACACTGATGAAGGCTTGGGCTTGTCCAAAATAAAATGGCACATTCGGTTTGCGGTCCAACAAACCCTTGTAGCTGACCCAAACTCAAGGATATTGGCAAGGTTTAGTTTCTCATTTGTTTGGGGTTTTTTTGTTTGTTTTTCACTGAAGACAAATATTTGTGCTGCTAGGTCAGTCGAAAAGGAATCGTCCTTTTCCCTCTGCTTGTCAATGTGACCACTGAACCCCAAAGCATCACTTATTAAACCTTGCTCTGCTGCCAGTTTGTTTGAATATGAGAGAGAGCTCTGAATCCGCTAATAAACTGTGTTTAGATGTTTGCTGGAGGGTGGTGATATTTCTGAACCCAGAGTGAGCAGGGCCTCAGTGGGGGCTTTATCCACAGCCCTTATTCCTGAGAGGGGCAGGTATGGACCTCCCAGCATTGCAGCCCTGCTGCAATGCTCAGTGTGTCTGAGCCACAACCCAGTGCGGTGACAGGCAACTCAGAGGCTAATTTGCTCTGCGGCAAAAGGAGCTGGGAAAGATATTTCCCTGCTTTTGCAGAAAAATCCTTCTCCCCAAAACAGTTGCCCCCAGCACTATCCTCAGCCCATTCGGAGGACGCAGGGACAGAATAGCGAGCCGGTGAGGTCATGGGGAGAGAGTTAGTCACATTCAACTGGGAAAGGGAGAGGGCTGCCAACCAACGTTGCTCTCGCGCTGTGGAAAGCTCATGTGGTTTGGAGGGGACCCCCCTCTGGACTCCCCCAGGTACCCCAGCCAAGACGGGGGCTTGGTGCCGCGCTGCCTCTGCAGTGGCTTCCTGAGGAGCTGGAGGAGCTGGGGAAGGGTTAAATTGAAATCTAATTTGTTCTGGCATAGATGTGGACCTTGCTTCTCATAACTGGGGCGATCTGGGCGAGCAGGGGTTAAGAGGCTTTCTGAATCAGAGACTATCTGGAGCTGTCGCACAAGGGAGGGAGATCATGGCAGAGTTTAATGAATGACTTCATTTATATATTAAAAAAAACCCAACACAACAACACGGTGGCTTCCTGCCAGGCCCACAGACAAGGGTTTCTATGGGAACTTGGGGGAAAACAATAAATAGGAGTGTGGGACGAGTAGGGAAGGGAGGAGGGGAGCCCGGGCTCTGGTCCGGGTCCGCTTTGTTCCTCATGGAGAGCAAGGTGGCAAGGGGCAACGAGGGGGAAGAAGGGGAAAGGGCAGCTGAATTTGCCGATGCAAACAGACCCCACCCAAAATAAGGCAGGCAGTAACTATTACGTGGCGGCAGAGCGGTCTCTTGGCCAAGTCTGGGATCTGCTTCATTCCCTGCTCCCCTGTGGGCTCAGTGGGGATGGGTGACCTGTCTCCATCTGGCTCCGCATCCCGGCTCTGCTGCCTCAGGGGAGATGGGAGTTTGGGAGGGCAGGGATGAGGGGTCACTCCCAGCTTCCTGCCTGGGTGGCGGTGGGACCACTCTGTGAAGGGATGCTACTGGGGCTAAGCTCGGCGGTCCTGCTGGTGCCACAGAGTAAAATAGACTCTAAGCGAGTCTCCCCTGGAAAGGTTGACAAGGTTCATAATGTAATTAGAAAAGCCAAATTTTTGTTGAACAAAACATCTCAATTAATCCCTTTTTTTTTTTTTTTCCTTTCCTTTGCTGAAAGAGAGAGGTATCTGTCCTGAACCTCAAATGAAAACAGCATCTTAGCGAGGTCTTCTCGCATAGTTCATAATCCAGGCTGTGGGCAAAGCTGGGCAGTCTGGCAGAGTGGCACTTCTGGGGCAGCTGAAACCTGCCCCTCCTGCACTCAAACTGGGCTGAAACAAGCCTCAACTAAGGCATTTTTGTTTCTTTTTCCGTTTGCTTTCCAGAAGCTCTTTGCCCCAGTCTGAATTGACGTTGCACCGCATCTCCTGCTGCGCAGGTTCATCCTATAGGGACTGCAGTCCTCAGGGTGTGCCTGAATGGGGCAGGGAGACACGGGTCAGGCTGGGTCCTGCTGCTGGTGGGAGATCACCTTCCCAACTCCTGTGTGCGTGCCTTGCACAAGAGCATTTCTGTAAATAGGCTTGCAAATGCCAGGTGAAACAGCCTTCGTGGTCTGGTTTGGACCTGGCTGAGCCAGGGGTGAGTGGGGTGAGGGAACACCTGCCCCAGCATCTGCTCCAGCATCAGCCCCGGATACCACAAGTCAGACCTGCCCTGCTCTGGCTGCCATCGCAGGCCCTTTGGGTTAGTGGTGACCCTGCCACTGCAGCGCGTCGCTTTCTGCCTGCATCCCAGCTGGTGCTGCCAGCGGTGGAGCAGAAGCCAATCCTGCGCAGAGACCAGCGTTATCGCTGGAGGAGGAATGTGGCAGCTGCCTTATCGCTTCCTCAGGGATGTGAGAGGCCGTTCTGCTGACAGAGTTGTTAATATCCAGCAGCTGAGACGTCTGGGAGAAGCCAGGGCAGGTTTTTCTTCTCTGCAGGGGAGGAAGAAAGCTTGGCAGGGCAGAGTGGGACACAGCCGCTGCCCTCCACCGCTGTTCTCTCTGCTGCTGGTCAGGCAGGAGCAGCTCAGCTGCTTAAGGAAACTCACCCCCAGGGTGCAGATCTTGTCCTCCCTGGGCCAAAGCTTGAGATGGAGGTGTGGGATTTCTTGCAGCACTGCAAAACCCTTTACAAACCCCTCCCAGGGTGCAAAGTTGTTTTGCAGGGAATGGTGTGTCCCAGTGGGCTTCCAGCCTGTGGGGAGGTGCCTGGTCTGGGAGGAGGGGGATACGCACCACATCTTCCTTGGGGGGGAGAGGCTCTCCTCCACCTCTCTCCCAGTCCATGTGTCCCACCCTATCCTTGCACATAGATCGGTCCTGCTGTGGAGCTGTGCTGATGGAGGCGGGGATCCCACTTCGAGGACCACCACTCATGGTGGGAGTGCTCCTCTGCAGGAGCCCCTCGCTTGCCAGGGGGGAGCCCAGCACCTCGGGGGCGGGTATCACCAGGTTTTGCAGGTGCTGCCTTATGGTGTTAAGGATGGCTTTTCCCTCTGGCTTGGCAGGCTGACAGCGCAGTGGAGCGTGGAAGACGAGGAGGAGGCAGCAAGAGAGCGGCGGCGGCGGGAGCGGGAGAAGCAGCTGAGGTCCCAGGCAGAAGAGGGCTTGAATGGCACTGGCTCCTGCTCAGAGAGTGCGGGTCCAGCACAGGAAAATCAGTAAGAAATACCTGTGGATAAATCTTTCAGTGACATGCTCTCTCCTTGCAGCAAAACCCTCCCGCATCCAGGGAGCGGGTGTCTCTGTTGTTCAGGGTGGTTTGGGGAGACGGGGAAGTTTCTTAATAGGTTTGGGTTGGGGGATTTAGCCCAGACTAACAAATAGTGTGTTTCTAGTTTGGGCAGAAAAAGTCAGAATCTCTGCTTTCGTCTTTTTTTTGGCTAGAGGCTGGGTGTTTTACTGCCCTGAGAGTTTAAACTAGGACAGCTTGGGTAAGGCTGAGCTCAGGCAGGGAGTCCCCATCACCAGGGATTTCAGTGCCTAGTTAAATTTCAGCTTGTGAATCATCCTACACCGAAACTAATGGAAGTTCCTGATAAGTACGAAGACAGACACGTGCCTGAGGATGTGATACACAACTCTGGGCAGGTCATGGCGCTGGCGGCCAAGCGAGCGATCACCTCTCCTGGCCAGGCTCCCCACTCCTCCCGTGGAGGATGCTGCCCTGGTGGTGGGGAGCATGGAGCAGCTCCTGAGCTGGTGCAGTTCACAGCTCCAAGGGTTAAAGTTAACTTGATGCTTTAATGGGGCAACTCCTAAATGGAAATGGCTCAGGAGGCATTTATGGAGATGCTGAGCTATCTGCTGTCAGAGAGGAAACCCCTGGAGAAGGGATAGGATGACCAGTCAGATCCACAGCATCCCACCACAGCCGCCCTGTGTCCACAATTCAGCAGCCCAGGTGCTGTGCAGCATTGGGGCTGGCACAAAAACCAGTCTGCACTCTGAGTTGCCAAACTCTGTCTTAAAGACCCCAGTCTTCTCACTATTTATGTGTTCAACTTATTTCTAAATATATTAAACACAATGGAAAAGTGGCGGCAGGATTTGGGATTACAGTCAGAGAGAAGCAGCAGCTTCATTTTACTGGAAAAATAGCAAAAGCTATTTACAAAAACCTATTTTTTTCCATGAAGAGATCATCTTTTTTCCCAGATACTTTCAAAATTATTCAGGACTTTTTTTTTTTTTTTTTCCATCTAAAAGCATTGCAAAGAAGCGTCAAAATCTTTTGTGGAAATATACCCAGTGATATTCTGCAGACAAACCTACTGCAGTCTGCCCTAAAAGCAAACAGAAGATCTGGAAAGTAATAATAATTGTTAGCTTTTCCAAACCCCCCTTCACACGGGGGCTGGAAAATAATTCTCAAAAGTCTTTAAAATGGCTGACAAGATCTCTGGTCTCTGCTTTACCGGGAGATGCTGTGAGCAGCCTCAGGCACAGAGCAGCGTGCAGCAGCCCCCGTAACACAGCTTGCAGGCTCCGGTCCTGTAGGCACAGGCACAGACACGCTGCTGACCCCACAGGACCCTTGGCAGTGCCCAAATTTAATTGAGTGCTTAAACATCTGTGAAGGGGGCAATGACAAGAACAACTCCTAAAATGAGGGGTTTTGCTCCCTGCTCTGTGATGCTTGAGCTTGCTGGGCCAGGCTTCACTGGGAAGGATGTTTCTTCTCTGGCCATCCCCTGGTTTCTTCTGCAGCTGCTGACAGCCACCTGGGCTTGCTCATGCAGCTGGGGTCAGCCCTGGCTATTAATCTTCTGAAAATCTTCACTGCCTCGTGTAAACACTGCCCCCTCCTTCCCTTGGCTCTTCCCGCGCTGGGACTCATCCCATCCATGTCACTCCTGTCTGTGAAAACCCGCTTTTGGCATTTCCTTGCACCAAAGGGACAGAGCAAAGCTCCTCTCCTCCCTTCCCCCACTAAAAAAAAAAAGAGAAATAACCCCAAAATAGTGGGTTTGCAGAAAAGACATGCACAGCCTTGGGAACCAATGGGGCTGCGTACCAATGTAGGACAAGCAGCAACCAAGACATCAGCTTAGGTGGTGCTGATGGGGCTGTGCTGCCTTGGTGCTTCCCCTGGGGCTGGGTTTGCAGAGGGCACAGGGAAGTGACCAGTTTTCAAACAGCATTTGGCCGGTCTCCCTTGCTCCCTGGGAGCTTTTCGGATAGCCTGAGCACATGTTTGTGGCCAGGGCCACAAATACCAGAGCAATTCTGCCTTGGGCATCATCAACACTGCAGCTTGCCTGAAGCCCTGACCTGGGACTCAGAACATCTGTGGTCCTGTCCTGGCTCTGCATCAAATTTCCTGAGTGTTGTCCTGGGGCATTCACGAGCCACTGCTACACACGCAGCAGAAAATAACCCAGCCTGGGCTGTGATGTCCTAGACCAACACGGTATCGTGCTCAGCAGTCTAAGGGGATGCTGAAGCACAGCAGGAGCTGGGCTGTCCTCAAACTTGTGCCTAAGCAGTTGTTTTTGGTGCGCACCCCCTGCTACCCTCCCTGGTGAGCCTGGCGAGGGCACGTGTTTTTCGTAAACCCTCAGCTCCTGCAGTCAGTTCAATATGAGACTCACGAATCTCAGAGAAATGCCCCATATTTCAAGCCACCAGGGTGACGGAGGAGGCTAAGCATCCCCTGATACCACCTAAGAGCCCAGAAAGGCAAAGAAAAGACTCACACACATTTATTACGTATTTTGAATCCCTGAGTTTTAAACTAATCTGTGGGTCCCACATCCTAATTCCCATTCCCAGACGATGTGACTGCCTTGCATCCCAAAAACATCTGTGAAGCCAGCTCCTCAGGCCAATGCTTGCAATGTGGCTGCCCACCTAGGACCTCCGGCCAGGAGGCAATTCTCCTTGTGAACACAAGGAAAGACATAGGAAACAACGCAACAATCCCCGTGCACGGCCAGCCCGCGTGTGCTGCTGGCAGCTGTGCGCCCCGGGAGGGCTGTGGCTCCGTACAGCAGTAAGGTGTTCACAGGAAGGGAGCCAGAGTCATGCAAGTGTATGTGACTGGCTCAAAGCTGTAGGGCAACGTGAGGATCCAACCCAGAACTTGAGCCAGTGTCCTAATCTTTGGGTCTTCATGCCTTCCTCATCCAGTGATCTGTTCAGGCTGACTCCTGCTGATTTCTTAGAAAAGAAATTGCTTACAATCTTATTAAAAAAAGAAAGGAAATGGAGCTGCGTACCAACGTAGGACAAGCAGCAACTGAGTTTGATAGAGCCAGCTCTGGTGCAGAAGAATACCGTGGGCTTTTTGGTTTTGATGTGCTGCTTGTCTTTTGCTTGCCTGTGTGCGGACACAGAGACCAGGCAGGCAGCAGGGTGCTCCTTCTGGAGACACAGAGCTGCTCCTTCTTCCTCTCCATCTCGCAGCGATTCCCCAAGAGACCCCCTTTGTACAAGGGCACTCCCTTGAGTGTGTGGCAAAGGCGTCTTTCCTGTAACAAAGGATAAGGCTTCAAGTGGGATTTGGGAGCAGTCAGAAGAAAAAAGATGCAATAACTGAAGGGAGAGAAGGATGGTATCAGGCTGGGGCTCTTTCAGGCCAGGTTTAGGGTTTTTTGCATCTCTCTCATCCTTATTCTCCTTCTTGTTGTGTTTCAGCTATGACTTTAAGCCATCCGGAACTTCAGAGCTGGAGGAGGATGAGGGATTCAGTGACTGGTCCCAGAAGCTCGAGCAGCGCAAACAGAGGTGGGTAGGACACAGCCAGACCGAGGGGAGGGGAACCAACGTGCCCAGCAAAAGGACCGTCCCCAAGGAGGGGCAGGACGGGTTCTGCACTGCTGGGACAGATGTTCTCCGCCTGCCATTTAGGCTAGCGGGGAGGAACAGGCTCAGGGACTGCCCTGGGCTTCAGGGATGTTTGGATTGAGCTTTGCACTCCAAGCAATGGCAGCCTGCCAGGACGCCTGGGTTTGGAGGAGTGACAAGAGCGGATTTAAGCCACCTGAGCTGCTGCAGGGGCTGAAATGGTCTCTAACATAATCCAGGGCAGCCTAAAAAGCTGTTCTAAGTTATTGCTGCTTCCTGGCTCATGGCAGCATAGTGGGTGTTATGGCCCCAGCCCACCTTGTGCTTGACTCCTCTTTCAGTCAAGGAAAACAGGCAGCAAAGAGCCCCGAGAGGTGCTTGTGTGCTGGCTGTTTAGTCCCCATCTCCCATCACTCTCCCCTTGCTGAGCTCCTGCCTTAACCACTTCCCTTGGACACCATCTACCTGCACGTGAACTCTGTGACTCAGCTCTCTCGGCAGCTTGACTTTATAGGAAATTTTACCCTGTGATGACACAGCCTCTTCTTTACCCCGAGACTGAAAAAATGCCTAACGTTAATATTTACTGCTGAACAAATAAATAGAGTTCGCCTCTTTCTTACTTTTTTCCAAACACTGTGGCTAAACCACTCTGCAAGCTGTACCTTCACAGCCCCAATCCCGCAAGCGTTGCTCAAGCACCTCACCATGGCACTGATTATCACATCTGTGAGAGCAATTAGAAATCAGTCCCATCTGCTTTCGGCACACTGCTTTTTTTTCTACCCCCCGTGCAAAGAGCTTGTCTGGAGAGAAAGGCTGCTGCTATTCCCTTCTTGGTATTCAAAAGAGAATTAGCTGGAAGGGTTGCATTATCCTCTCCAGGAATTGCTCCTTGGGTTTTTATGTGATGCTTGTGTTTATTCTGTAGCAAGGCAGGAGGGTGCTGAGCAGGGGAGGTGCTTCACCCATGGCAGGTGAAGCCCATCAGAGAGGGGTGGTGCTTTAAAGGCTTTTGGCTGGAGGTAAGCAGGCTTTTGGCTGGAGGCTGGCTTCCAGAGGTAGTTGAAGGGGCTCAGGTCCTCTGGGCTTGCTGGGAGTGGGCTTTTTGCAGAAGCTGGGCTTGCTTTCTAGTGGGTGGCTGTGCCCTGTAAAGTCTCTTCAGCAGCTTTTCTCTTCTTCCTTGCTTACCTGCCTCACCCAAAGGACAGGCTTGGAGTGTGGTGTGAGCCCAGGTAGGTTGTGTGTCTGGCTGGGATGCTCCATGCTGGGACAAGTAGCACTGTGGCCAGGGTTTCCCAGCTCCCCCCTCTCCTGCTTAATTGAATATGGAGCAAACTGTTTTTTCGTGCAAAGGATGTTTAGGTGGTGGCTATGACTGAGGGGAGGGAGACAGTTGCTCTCCCTTGGATGGAGCTAAAATGGCTTGTGCATCCTCTGAGGACCTTGGTGCTAAGACATGTTTTCTTTTTGGTTCTGGTTCCCCACTTTGTGGGGGGAGATCCATGCCCCCACAACTATCAGCTGCATGCAAAAGGGTGGGAGCTGGGTCAGACTAGCTGCCTCCCATACAAAATTGCTGTGGTGCAGAAGGCATCCTCTAGACTGCATCATATCTGCTGGCCTGAGTTTTTAATATGAGCTTGCGCTTTAGATGGAGGCATTGCTGGCATCCTGGTTAAGAGAAACTAGTTACCTGGGCTATAAAACCTTCAGAGCCTGTTTGCTGTTGGTGACTGCGCTGTTGTGGGAGGGTGATTAGTAGCAAGCCAAGTGAGCCAGCGTATGCATCAGCTCTTTCCCTGGCTGTCCTGTGAGCTGCCTTCCCAGCAGCAGAGAGGTGGGTGGAGAAGCACTGCTTGAACTTTTTTTCATGTTTTGGTGCTGGCTGGTGAGGCAGAAGCAGTGAGTCAGCCTTGCACTTTGGCAGCTGCCTGCTAGCCAGCTCTCTAGCCTTGCTGTCACAAGCCAGGTGATTTTCTAAGAAATGGGTGGGAGGAGAATGCTGTTCTCTGGCTGGGGAAAATAAGATGGCAATAACATCTTGGTGCACGACTGTGAGCCAGTGAGTGCTCTGGGGTTACGTGCTCCCATCGACTCTGTGCCCAACAGCATGGGCTGCTCTGCTTTTGCAAAGCTGATTGCTTAAACATACTCCTGGGTCTCCTCTCTGCAGCCTTGGAGACCTGGAGGAATCCTCTTGTCAAACCCCATTGTGGTTTTTTAAACCAAAGCCAGGGAGTGACCCTGGCTGCTTTGGGACTCCTTTGTTTTGCTGGCCTATGACATGAGTGACATGAGTAGAGGTCATTTGTTCTGGTGGGTAAAACTGAGGCTTGGGGTCAGGTATGGATATAGCATTGCCTGTGAAGCACTGTGCCTTGCAAACAAACAAAAAAAAAACCCTACGCGAGTGGCTGTGCAGCCTTACCCTGCAGTTTAGCTTCAGCTAGGAAAAAGGGGGATCTTGGGAGGCACGTTCACGTGTTGTTGGTTGGATCCTCCTCCAGCGAGAGGCTCTATTAACACAGAAGATAAGATAAGGGAGAGAAAGGCTGTGTTTGGTACTCCATGTTGAATTGATGCTAGGAACCGTGGCGGTAGTGTCAGATCTGTGTTTGTGCACCAGGACCACAGAGCATGCTGGCTGGCCTGGGATTTTGGCTGTAGCAGAGCAGAGAATTGAGCCAGCACCACATGATGGTGGTAATGTCCTCTCTGCCTGGGGTCCGAGCGGAGGCCAGGACCTGGTGTTCAGGTCTGTCTGATCTCTGTTTTCCTGTGGGTCTTGCCCATGGTGAGACTAGAAAGGTGCAGATACTTTTAGCTCTGCCACAACTCTTAGTTGAGCTGTGTCCTGGGTATTCAAAGCATGGGAGTGTGATGTGACTGCTGTTACATCTGTGTGCCTGGAACTGGATGGGACCATGGAAGTGGCTGTGAGCCCTGGTGTAAAACACCCAGCAAGCTGTAGGCTTGGGAGAGTGATAAAATTGGTTTTCTAGAGGTCTGTAGGCTCATAACAACGTTTTGCTCCTTTGACCTCTCCCCCCCCACCTCTAGGTCTCCACGACAGTCATATGAAGAAGAGGACAGTGGTGTGAGGGAAGCTGAAGTCAAACTGGAGCAGATCCAGCTGGATCAGGAAAGCCCGGAGGAGATCCGGGAGGAGAACGTGGTTACTGGGGAAGAAGAGAGACCGTACCAAGAGGAAGAACGGGTCTGGGAGCAAGAGGAAGAGGAGAGAGCTGAGCAAGAGGTGGGATCAGGAGGAACTGACCTGCTCTCCACAGGGCTGGTGGGAGAACTGGTGCTGAGGGCTGCTCTCCAAGAACTCAGCTCACCATTGCTGCTTACACTGCTGGGTGTTGAGCCCATGTAGACAAGCAGTCATGGCATGACCTGGGGCTGGTGCCACTCTTGCCTGTGTTCCTTCTTGGGGTCACTACAGACAGCCTCTGACCTCTTGTGAGGGTGGTGTGTTTGCTCCCAGAGCTTGTGGTGGTTTAGTCACATCCCTGCAATACCAAGAAGGAAAGCGCTACTATTTCTCCTGTGGTTTTGTGGGCAGTGAGTAGCTCTTCAGGAGAACTCAAATCTAAATTTTACTGCTTGTTTTTCTCTCCCCAGCCTTTATCGCACCTTTGGAGCACTTTGGCTTGATGTATCTCTAAATCTTGCATTGCTCCCAGCTGAGGTTTTCTTTCTTTGCTCTTCTGATGAGGTGTAATTCCTGGTAAACAAGAGAGACAAAGCTGGAACTTGAGTGATGTGCAAGTCCATTAGGTTGGCTAAGCTGCAAGTGTCTTCTGTTGTAAATGGGTTTTGACTTGCTGAGGCTAGTATGCTTTTTGCATTTGAACTGTGTGTGTGACTCTTTCTAGCCCTTTATTCTAAAGGCAGCTGCTCTCTCTCCTTGTGACCTCTAAATGAGAAATTTACATTTTTTTTATCTCAATAGGGGTAAGAAATCTTTATTAACTGATGCAAGGACCGTTTTCCATATCATTTTGGAACCTTGAACCTGTAAAATTTCTCTGATTCCGCCCCCGCCT